GAGCCGGAGGCTCTTTAAGTTAAGGAAACCGCCATGGAAGGGGGACCCCTATGAAAAGCACCCCTAACTTTGGAATCTCCACTTCCATGGTAGGGTTTCGGGTTTAGGGTTTAGGGGTTTAGGGTTTAGGCTTTAGGGTGTGCCGCTTTTGAACCGCGCGCCTGGCAAGGTTTGGAACCACGAAAGCGGATTTATGTGAGCCATAGTCTAAACTCCTCAAAGGGGCCTAGGGAGGGGATTAAACAGGGGAGTATTACAGGCTTTTTAAGGGGGATACTAGGAGTTTAGATCCTAAACCCTAATCCCCATACTATAGGGCTGATTAAAAGGGATACTAGAAATTTGGTTTCTACCTCATGCAAAATTCTTACGAGGCTTCAGGTTCAAGGAGTAGGATCGGGCTATAGGAGGTGGGAATGTGAGGGTCCAGGGTTTACGGTCTAGGGTTTAAGGTTTAGGACTTAGGGCTCTAGGGTTAAGTATTTTTGGTTTAGCGCTTAGAAGTTGAGGATTCAGGGTTTTGCATTCAAGGATATAAGGTTCTGGGCTGGGTGCGGGACGTGCTTATTGGGAGTGGCCCCTGATTTTCAGACACTCCCCAGCTCAACCATTTGACTTGCCTAGTCCATCCGTTTGCAGCGCCGAGAACTTCCGTAGCCAGAGCCACACTCTAAAGTGTGAGGCATATCCTCGCATTGAGCGGCAGCCCATATGCCCTTACACACTGAACACCAAACCATGGGAAGAAGACTTACTTAATCCCCTTTGACAACCCTAAACACTAAACCCTGAACCAACCCTCAACCCCAAACCTTGAACCACAGTATGTCAGAAGTTCTGGACATCTCCGCGCCTGGAAAGCGGAGCACCTGGTATCATAGGACTACTCTGGCCCCCCCAATATGCATCACGCCGAACTAACAGGGGGTACATAGGGTTTAGGTTTTAGGGTCCCAATAAAAACTGAGTATGCCCGAATGGTCCCCATTAGCCCCTATCAAGGGCGTTGATTTGTGCCCACATGCTGGGGGGAGAGGGGGGCAGAATGGCCCCATGATGGTAGAAGCAGCAAAACTTGGAACATCCGGAGCAGCGCGAGTATCTGGCTCAATGACAATAACCCTAGGGCTGTTAAGTCTATAAATGATAGGACACCCTTACGCCCCCTTTAAGGGGCTTACAGGGATACACGAATAGGTAGATTGATAAGGGCAGCTATCCATATCATGTAGGGACTACCCAAGACCTTTAAGTCAAGAAGCAATGTTAGCTTTGGTTCCTGAAGTCTATGAATAACGTCCACTTTGGATCCTAAAGTGCGTGAGTAGTACCAACTTTAGGAAATTTGGATCCCTAGAATAATTCGAGCACCTGAATTAATGTGACTCCAAGACCCTACACCCCGGTTCGGCAGACCCTTAACAATGAAGCCCTAAGGCTGAAATCTCAAACCGGCTGATCTACACCAATTACACACCAAACTCTGAAATGTGGGTATTTTGGAAGTCATTCTAAACATGAACCGCCGTTTGAAGCGAGCTCGGGCGAGGTCTGTAAACATTGCCGTAAACCCGAAACCCTAAACCACGAAAGCACCGTCATGCAGATGAAGATCGTACAGGCTGGTGGTCTCTTGACGAGGGTCTCATTTTGCAGGGGGGTATAGGGTAGTTTCCCTGAATAGGGGAAAGCCAATATAGGCCCCAATATGATATTGTCGTTATTATAGGGACCCCCAAAATGGTATCCCTAATTTTGGGAAACCCCTGTATAAGGGTCCGTATAATTGTGTTTAGGCCGTTTTCCTGGCTTGAATACAGGTGAATCTTCAGAAAGCGCTGGGTGAGCCCGTACCTAGGCTTTCGAGGGTCACCTCAAACCCCAAACCTTAAACGCCCTAAACCCTCAAAGTGTTAATGGTTATGCCCTATGGACAGGCAAAAGGCTCTCATTTGTGCACTCCTCGGGGATTCACGTGCCAAGGGTACACCATACTCAGGGTTTAGGGCTCAACGTTTGGGATGGCCCTAACTCTTCAGGATATCACACATAGCTCGAACTGCCTGTGTCTGAAAAATTAACAGGAACCACACCGCGGAATTGGATACGCTGGTTCTCGCTAAATTCACAGCGGCATCATCCAGGAAAGACATGGAAAGTTCCACAAAGTAAGTTACCTTTGCTGACTGGACCCCAAAAAAAAACCCAGGAAACCCCCATATTGGTACTTTGAGACCCTGAATCCCTTTGCCCGAAGCATGGCACCTACACTGGTTCCTTTTCGGGACAGGGTTTAGGGTCTTGACTTATACAATATCTTAATGTTCCTTCTTGGGGTGAACAAAACGGATTCAAGAATTATCTTCAACAATAACTTACCGAAAACCTTCGCCCGAACCCCTCATGAAACCCTCAACGCTTTTCATGTGGAGAGTAACACTTTTAACCTCCTTAAAGCCCTACAGGGCCCTCCTAACCACATTAAAGGGATCCTATACAAGCCTTACTAAAACCCCTGTAAGAGGGGACCCTTTGCCCGTATAACTTCCGGCTTAGCCGCTGCTCTTTTGGGAAATGGGACTACCGAGCTGGAGTGTCGTCACTGAGACATGGCAGTCACTCACCTTAGATTCACACTGCATGGGTTTTGCTCAAAACACGTAGGGACATTTGGGGATTACAATGGGGGTTATGGAGTCCCTTTCTAAGGATTCTAGTGGATGTAAGGCTTGGAGTCAGGGTTTGGGGTGAACGAGCTTGAGAACTGGTTGAAGAACAGGAGCCCATACTGTCACGACTGAAGGCACTCCTTTGTTGCTCAATGGCAAGTTGCTCATGCGAGACTTGGCCGAAACTACTGATCCCCAAAATTGGGGAAAATCTTATAGGCGAATAGGAACCCCAGTATAGGGAGCATTAGAATGAACTGCTGGCGTAGGAAAGGCCGCCTTTTTATGCCTTGCCACCCTAAACCCTGAACCCAAATCTTCTAGCGCCAATGCTCTCGACAATCAAACGTCAAAGTAGATAGACCAGTTTAGGGTTTAGGACTCCAGAAATCCAAAACGCCTATGACCTCCAATACCAAGAACCCCGACCCAAAACGCTAAACCCTAAACCCAGGGCTCTAAGCTCTCCATGCCAAGTCTGAAGCCCAACTCTAAAACTCAGGCCCTAGGCTCCTGAAGCCTAAGCGCCCCAGCCTAAATCGCTGGGGACCCGAGAAAAACACCCATCAATTACAACCCTCACAAAACTTTCAAGCCCAACTAGCTAGGCATGCTACGAAACACGAGTGCTATCTAACATTGTAGCCCCAAGGCGGCCTAAACCCCAAACCTGGCTTTCTTGTGAACTTTCCCCTAAACCATAAGCGGTGGCTCAGCCTCAAGGTTCAGGGTTTAAACCCTGAACCCTAAACCCAAAGGGTTTATCGCCATAAATCATTCACCAAAAAAGCCCGGTTACGAGGCTCCCCTGGAACCTGCGAGGACCTATACACTGAACCCTGATCTACCTATGGCTTCAAAGTCCCAAACCGCCCAACTGTAAGGGGGATTCAGGGTTTAGGCTTCAGGATTCAAGGCTCAAGGGAATTTAGTTTAGAGCTTAGGACTTACATCTTACAATTTAGGGTATGTAGGAGAAGAACGGAGGATGAAATGGACAATGACATGCAAACTGGATTTGTAGGGATGGTGTTCTCCTCTTATCACTTGATAATGAAGACACACGCTATGGTTTAGGGTTTAGGGTGTACTGTTGGAGATTTTGTAGGAATTGGAGATTTTATGGGAACTACTCTAAGGATTCATTCCTCATTCCTTGCTAACCGTAGCTGCCAACCAGGGACAGCAAACCGCCCAACCCTAAGCCTCAAAACCCCAAACCCCACAAACTTGACCCTTAATTCCCCCAACACCCGAGCCCTAACCCCCAAATCCCCAACCTTCCAAAAACCTAAGTCTCCAAACCTATCCAACTTCCTGAACTTCCACCTAAACCAAAAAACTTAACCCTAAGCCTTGAACCCTAAGCCCCTGACATCCTATAGCCCCACAACTCCCCAAGCTTCTCCAACCCTACATCCCCCAAACTCCCCTGAGCCTCATAACGAAAATTCACCCTAAAACCCTATAACCTCAACCCTAAATCCCAAAACCCTAATCCCTAAACCCTAATCCCGCTCAAACCCTAATCCCTGAACCCCGGCCTCCTCGAAATGTTAGAGACCACCTCCAGTCCCGCCACTTGCACAAAGCTAAACCCTAACGCCTAAACAAGTACTCAAAACTGTGTTTTCCCTAACCCCTCCCCAACCCTTTAACCCCAGAGAGACTGAAAACCCTAAACTCTTCCAACCCTGAACCCTTCAACCCTTAAAACCCTGAACCCTTCAACCCTAAACTTTAAAACCCTTCAAACCAAAAAAAACTTTTGAGGCCCTGAGAGCGCCTGCTGTTGCTTCGGCCACGGCGGTCGCGGCTGTCGTTTCGCTTCATCGAAGGCCGTGGCTCGCCGCACTTGAAGCATCTATCCTTTTGGGTATCGGGGTTTAGGGTTTTAGGGTTAAGGGGTTCAGGGTTTAGGGGTTGTAGGCTTTAGGCTTATATAGGGTTTAAGGGTTTTCGGGTTTTAGGGCTTATGGCTCAGCATTTTTTAGGGTACAGGGCTGAGGGTTTAGGATTTTAGCGCTTGGGGCTTATAGTTTAGGGGTTTCGAGTTTCGAGCTGAAGCATCTATCCTGCTGCTGAAGATGGATTCTTGTAGGGATATATGAGGATCTGTAGGACACATAAGGATTTTACAGAAATAGTTTGGTGTTTTGAGTTTCGGTTTTCGGGTTTAGGATATGATTCTACTCATTTTTGGGGTGTAGGAAGTTACTCTAAAGGCTAAACCGTGTTGGAGCCTACGTTTGGTGGAGCGGTTTGCTCAGAGAGCATCTGGGTGAGACAGGCATGAGAAGTCCCTCTCTCTCCCTAAGCCCTTCACAAGTCCCGGAAGAAGGACTTAATTATGAACAAAAGTCCCGGAGTAAGGGCTGAATTATGATTGGGGGCTATAACGGTTTCCCTAATTTTGGAAACTTCCATGATTCGCCCTGGAGGCATCTCTGTGAGACATGCCTCTTCGAGGAAGCCTAGGTTTCTATCCGCGCAGAAAAGCTTTAGTAAATGAATATCCCTCAACATCCTTATATGTGTCCCTGTACATTTCTGTACATCCCTGTCTACCGCTATAAGATGTCCCCACACATCCCTATATGGCTGTACAGCAAGCCCTATTGTAATCCTTAAGCCTTGAAGCCTAATTCCTTGATTAAGGCAAGCTAGGACCCATGGTTCTGTCTAGGGTTCCCCTAAACCCTAAACCCCTAAACCCTAAGCCCTATAGGGTTTAGGGGCTCGCAAACCTTTTTCTACCCCTTTACGGCCACCAGCCCATTGGACTGGCTTATTTAGCAAAGACGACAGGAAGTGCACATGAACTAGGTCCGAACTCTTACGCTTAAACAACCAAGCCCGACATCCTAAATCCCGAGCATTCTACCCTAAACCCTAAACTCCAACCGATCATCTGAATTACAAGCCTCCACACCCCCTCATACTTAGTTTTCGCTGTACTGGGAATAAGCGTCCTTGGGGTTTGGGGGCAAGAGTTGCATGCAGGGGATCAGGCCTGTCAGCCCTAAGTCCCTATAGTCCCCCTTAAGTAGATAGAATATGGTTTTGGGTATATACCATATATATATATATATCTGATAATAAGATCCCCATATACCGCAGATTCTATCTACTTAAGTGGGACTATACGTCCAGGCATCCTAAAACCTAGACCCTTCAACCCAAGCCTTTGGACCCTCAATCCTAAACCGTACATAGACCCTCCTCCTATAAACACTCACGGTTTAGGGTTTACTGTTTAGGGTTCCCTTAATCTCTAAGACCCTAAACTCTAAAGCCCTCGACCCATCAGAAGCCGCATCCTTGGATCCAAAGACCATGGCGCCGCAGTTGGGGCAGTCCCAGTCACCTCCGCTCTACTGAAGGTTTAAGGTTACCTCCGCTCCACTGAAGGGGCAGGGTTTTAGGGTCTTAGGGTTTAAGGTTTAAGGTTACCTCCGCTCCACTGAAGGGGTAGGGTCCTAGGGTTTAGGGTTACCTCCGCTCTACTGAAGGGGTAAGGTTTCGGGTTTGGTGTAGGGTTTGGGATTTGAGGTTCAGGGTCGAGGATATTGCTCTTAAGGGGTTATAGGGGATATGGAAGGTGATATGGGAAGTATGGTGATATTTGGGAATTAGGGTTTTAGGGTTCAAGTATCTTCTCATTGATACGTGGCTTGGCAAAAGGGGGAAGGATTAGGGATTTTTCCATGGAAAAGAACATGGATGATGAACTGGACCATGGGATGAGATCGCAGTTTACTTACCTTTGGTTAGCTAGGAACGAAGGCATGGATTTCTATAGTAGTTGTTATGTAACCTATTATAGTGGCTTTCTTTTCCATACCTCCATTTGCAGCTAACCAAAAGATAAGTTTGCAATGATGAGGATTTGGCATTCACGGAGTTAGTACTATGTAGGGAGGCCTTGGGGTCTGGGAGGCGTGTCTGTGGAGGGATTCGGGCTCTGGGTTTTAGGGCTTGGCGATTTAAGGGGTGTAGTCGGTTCAGGGTTGAGACTCTAGTGATTGAGGGTTTGGAGTCCGGAGGCTTCAGGAATTGGCGTTTGTGGTTCAGAGCTTCTATAAGTTTAGGGCCTGTGCGCGGTACAGGTGGTTAAGGGGTTTAAGATTTTGGGGTCAGGGTTGAGGGCGTTCATGGGTTCAGGGTCTTGAACGATGTTGGTGTTTGAGGCGGGTTTAGGTTTAGAGGCTTGAGGTTTTTGGGATTCGGCCACACGAAACCCTGAAGCCTATAGGCTCTAACGGCTTGGTTTTGGTGGTGAAGACTTCAAGGTCAGGGGCTTTAGTGGTGTCCAGAACTTTGTTTAAGCAGGACTAAATGTTTTCAAGTATTGGGGTTGCTCATGCGGTATAGGAACCGAAGCAGAGAGACAGGGCAATTAGGCACTTTAGATGATACTTCTGTAGGGATGGGCGAGAAGCAGGTTTAGGCATATCAGGTTTAGATTCAACCATTAACGCCAAACCCTAAGCTGAAAAGCTCTCAACCCTATTCCTGAAGACCCTGATTTCCAAACATAAAACCTTAATCCCTAAAGCCTAATTTTGAAACACTAAACCCTAATCCCTAAGACCATTTCCTTTACACACTAAGCCGTAATTCCTAAACCCTACTTAGTGTCCCTCCCCAAACCGCCAACGCCAACGCGACGCGCATGAACGTGTGTTGCAACGCGACGATCTCTGGAAGGCATATACGTGGTGTGCATCTGCATGTTCACTCAGTGGTCACTAGAGTGGCCTCTGCTGGACAATGTTGCAACACGTTCAAACAACCGTTTCTGAAAATTGAAAGCACCCATTTGCGCGCCGTGCAACTTTTTTGAAACCAGATATGGGCTGTTGAAAGCCGAAATTTGAGACTTGCGTAACTTTGCCAAGTCAAGTTGCAGAAGAAAGCTCGGCCGCAGCCCAAGGCGAGTTTTGCTTTTTCTGAATGACGGCCCCGGGGATCAGCGAAGCTTTTTTTATATAGGGGTTCTATTGGGATAATGGAGAAGAAAATGAAATACTATCTATACTAGATACTATATTAGTATATTATTACTATATTGTTAATCTGAAGGTAAAGTTGTCGGTAAAGTTGTCGTTGACTGCGTCATGCAGCAGAAAGGCGGCACCAGCAGACGGCAGCAGCAGTTGCAGCCGAAGGCTTTCAGATTCAAGGGCAGTGTTCCGACGCTTGCCTAATAACGCGCCCTGTGCTTGAAGTGCGGAATGCTAACCTACGCCCGCCCGCGTGTTGGCGGTCCACTATGAACCCTCGTCCCGAAACCCTGATTTGTAAACACTACACTCATCCCTGAATCATATTGTTTGGGCAACCCTAGGCCTTCCTGCAATTGGGTTCTCTGGGTTGCTACAGTTTAGGGTTTAGGGAACTAGAGTTACCATAATATGGTTGTAGTAACTTAATCCAAGTTCCTTAACGGCATCCCAGTTTAGTTGCAGTAGGCTTTCTTTCCGTCTCAAGTGGTCTGAGCTTTGAGTACTGGACGCGGGGGGCTAGTCAATCTGCGAAAACAGGGCGAAGGTCTGGGATTCACGGTTTAGGGTTTAAGGTCTCGGATTTAGGGTTGAGGACTCAGGGTTTAAGGCTTTGTCCCTAATTTTCCCTTGGGTTAAACCTTTTCCAGAACCCCCCCCCGCATGTGCTCAAGACAGACCTTAAAAAATAGGATCCCCGGTGACGTAGGCTAGCCTCCCTTATGGACCCAGTGGGGTAGTTTTAATGTTATATCTCTTAGTTCAACAAAGAACCTGGATTTGCCATAGAGGGGAAAGGGGCATTCCCCTTTCTATCCACTTCTAATCCTGACCCTAAGCCCTAACCTACACCCTTAACCCCAAACCCTTATCCCTACACCCCCCAAGCCCTGAAGCCTGAACCCTAAACCACAAATGTAAACCCTAAACTCTAAACCCTACATTTACTAAGTCCCCCTGAGCCCCCAAATATCATCCGAGCCACAGTCGAT